AATCAGTAGGGAAGAGGGATAGGGGAGAAAGAGGGAAGGAGGGTGGGACCTTGAGGAAATGAGGAAGGAGGCTACAACTCGGATACAAAGTGAATAAATTATAAACAATAATAATGATGATGAAGATGATGATGATGATAATGATGATGAAAAATAAAATCTGAAGAAAAAAAAGTTTCTGCTTCAATCCTGTCCTTCAATCCTTCCTACAAAAGGCTAAGATGGGTCGGCTGTAATGCTGGGGGAGGCCATGTGGGGTCCTCATGTTTAAGCATTCACCTGTTTGTGAGCTGGCGTTTCTTCTCAGTGTGGCCTTATTCTTCCTAATCAGAGTACCAGAGTGAAAGGAACCCCTTAAAAGTGCCTAATGATTCTTCCAAATTATCTACCAAGAAAATGACTCTGAGGGAAAGAGGAAGGTGTGCCCTTCCCCTTTCCCCCAGGGCATGGTGGTTTGAATGAGAATTGCTCCAATAGCCTTATATATTTGCATGCCTAGTACCCAACTATTAGCTATTTGGAAGGAGCAGGATACGTAGCCTTTTGGAGTGGGCATAGTCTTGTTGGAGGGGTGTGTCAGTAGGGGTGGGCTTTAAGGTTTTGAAAGCCCCTGCCAGGCCCAGTCTCTTCTCCTTCTCCCTCTCCCTTATCCCCTCCCCCTCTCCTTCCCCCTCCCTCTGACTCAGTCTCTGCCTCTTCCCTCTCCTCTGTCTCTTCCTCTCCCTGTCTCTCCTCCCTCTCCCTCTTCTCCCTCTCCCTCTTTCTTCCTCTCCCTCTTCTTCTGACTCATCTACTGCCTCTTCCCTCTCCCTCTGTCTCTTCCTCTGCCTCTTCCTCTTCCTCTCCCTTTCCCTCCCTCTCTCTGCCTTTGATTCAGGATTTAGCTTTCAACTACTCCAGCAACGTGCCTGCCTATATGTAGCCATGTTCTCTACCATGATGATAATGAACTAAACCTTGAAACTGTAAGCAAGCCCCCAGTTAAATGCTTTATAAGAGTTGCCTTGGTCATGGTGTCTCTTCACAGCAATAGAACAGTGACTAAGACACCTTTACTCTTCACGCCAAAGACTGTATCCTTCAGGGAAAAGGACATTGTCCATTAATACAGTTCTCTACTGAGCTGGGACAATACCAGTTCTCCAAATTCAAGAAGCTTCACTGGATTCTGCCCATAAAACTGCCAATTTGAAAAAAAAAATGTCAATAGAGCCTGGTAGAGTGATGACATCTTATCCTTATTGTGTACACAGCCTATACACCACACCTGAAGTGGAGTCGTGACTCTGAGTCAGCTGTCACTTCAGTGCACACCGGAGCAGAGGAGGAAAAGGTAAGCCCACCCCAAGTGTTAGACAAAAGCAAGTGTTCAGTCTTTAGAGGACTGAGGACAACAATAAGACCAACCACCCTTCATTAAACATCACCACATACAGGAGAGTCTTAACAACGGCAGTTACCCCTCTTCACTAAAACCCTGCCGTGGTTCCCCTATTACCCAGCTAGTTACCCATTTGGTAATGATGCAGTCAGTGTCTCGTTCTGCATCTATTTCAACTGCATAGTTAGTTCCATCTCTGTGCCCATCCTGTCTGGGAACTAAAGAGCCTTGAAACTGGAGTTTCAGAGATTTGAGAGAGGGCAGGAGGAGACTGGGCAATATGTCACCTGAGTAATCTCTTTGTCTCAGTAATTCTTAAACCCTGGCTCTTCAACACCCACCCTTTCCCCTATTTCCCACACACTACCAAAAGTTCTGCAAATACATGATCATATCAGTGGGCTTGGTGATTGAGCAGCAGCTGACGATTGCCAGCTGTCATCCCAGAGCTACTAGCAGAGCAGCTCTGGGTGCGGCTTGCACACTCACACAGAGGTCAACCTGAGGTCTCGCTCCTTTTTAATCTGTTCTGGTCTACACTGCCCCATTCACACTCTTCCCTGAATTTTTAGTGCTTTAGCAAAATAATCTTAAGAACTTAAAGAAAGGCTACTGTCTTAAAAAAAAGATATCAAATTATTTCAAATTGTAAATCAGAGATGAGAAGAAAATATAACAGACTATTAATGATATATGCTAACTGTCTTAGTTAGGGTTATTATTTTTGTAGTGAAACTCCATCACTGAAAGCAAGAAAGGTTTTGGTTTGTTTGTTTGACTTATGCCTCCACATCACTCTTCATCATGGAAGAAAGTCAGAACAGGAACTCAGTCAGAGCAGAAACCTGGAGACAGGAGCAGAGACGATGAGGGAGTGCTATTTCCTGGTTTTCCCCGAAGGCTTGCTCAGCCTGCTTTCTTCTAGAACCCAGGACCTCCAGCCCAGGGATTATATCACCCACAATGGGCTGGGCCCTCCCTTATCTCTCCAATTAAGAAACTATCATATAGGCTTGCCTACAGCCTGATCTTATGAAGGCATTTTCTCAGCTGAGGCTCCTTCCTCTCCAGTGACTCTACCTTGTATCAAGTTGACATAAAACTAGCCAGTACAGTAACTGAACAGGTATTATTTTTAGATTCAAAGTCCTTTAAGCAGTTGCCATTTCTTTAGTTTACCATGATTCTTCCTGCAAGCTTTAGAGCCTGACAGGCAAGATGCCAAATAAAATAAATGCTTCCCTGGGAGGAAAAAAAAAAAAAAAAAAGGCAATTTTTTTGTAAGTTTCTTGTATGACATTAACATATTGTAAAAATGTAAATTTGCAGTCAAATTACAAATTAAGTCTGCACTATAATATTAGAAAGTTTTGTTTTGTTTTATTTTACAATACAGTTTTCACAGCTCCCAAAAAGAAGTTTTAAGGGACACTAAATAACTCTCTGCAGATTGTTTTTTGTAGTTGAAGTCAGGTGATTTCTACAGAATAGATAGGCATCAGGCTTGTGTTTCAAGTCCTGAGGACTAAACCACCTGCTTTATGATTGCCACTCGAGTGCTACGAGATAAATCAGTCAACTCTCAGGATTGCACCCAGCACCTGAGACAGGAGGAGGCCTTGTGACTCAACTTTGGTTTCAGCATCCACCTGTGGCAGCTGGTGTGCAGACAGTGTCAATGATCCTAGCAACGCCAGCCATTGTCCTCAGCACGGTGGAGGAGGTGCAGCTCGCCTCAGGGATGCTCGCTTAAAGCAACTCACAGCTTCATGGCATCACCTATGCCACCTGAACAGTGTCTAACTAAGTAGACATGCTCCTTGGCTGAGAAAGTCAAAGGCTGAAAGTTGGCTGAGCTTTTATGAAAGTCTTCCAGGAACAAACAAACAAAAACAAAAACAAAAAAAACAAGAATCCTTCAGGAGGAACTCAGAGCTCCTTGTCCTTGTGACATACTGTGACCCAAGAACCTGAGTCAAACCTTTTGAAGGTCACACCACCTTAAGAGACCCCCAGCTCCAGATGAACCACCCTTACATACACTAGTAAGACAAAGTGAGACAATTCTGTTTTCCCTCTACTTTGATGCAAAACCTATTTGCCTACTGGAGTATACTAGCTTAATGCATCTTAAAATCTTTGAACAATACACGAAATAATTCTTAAAATGGTAACAACCTAAAAGACTTTAAAATGCTGTAGAAGGACCATATGTACTGGAATCATTTAATAAAATGATGTCCACAAATTGTTAGTGACCTGGTAAAATTATCTTAATATAATACTGAAATCGTATAGACTAAAATATAAAAGCCAATTTCGAGATAAAAATGCAAGTAAGAAAAAGAGAAGAGCATTTGACAAACTATAACTAATAAGCCAGGGAATGGACTACAACTGTGTTGCTTTTAATTCAAAACACACAGCCATAAAATGAGATAATATATACAAAGTCCATTGTTAGTGTCATGTAAATGTTTGCTTCACAGACATAACCAACACAAATATAGTAGTTATTTCTTAAATAACCTAAAAAAGTGACAGATTTTTCAGCCAGTGGTTCTTAACATTCTTAATGCTGCAACCCTTTAATACAGCCTTTAATACGGCTCCTCATACTGTGGTGACAACCAAGCAATGAAACTATTTCATTGCTACTTCATAACTGTAATTTTGCTACTATTATGAATTATAATGTAAATATCTGATATGCAGGACATTTGGTATGTGACCTCCAAAGCGGTCATGACCCACAGGTTGAGAACCACCGGCTTATTGCCACAAGCCTTTGTAAAATTCTTTTAAAATTTCCACAGATATATTATTTACTATTCTATCACTTGGTACCAAATATACGAAATGATTTTCTTTTTAAAAATTATAAGAAAAATTCAAACAAACAAGTATTAAAATTAATAAAGTGTAGATTAGTGTTCAAGTTCAAATTTTAAGCAGCAGAAAGATAGCTCAAGGGTTAGGGGCACTCAGGGCATGAGGACTTGTGTTCGGTTCTCAGCACCCACACAGGGAAGCTCACAGCTTGTCTTCCTGGTTCCAAAAGATCCAACGCCCTCTTCTGAATTCCTGCAGCACAGACTGACATCACACAAACACATAGATACAAAATTTCAAACTAATAAAAATTCTATCTTAGTTTAAGTGTAAGAAACCTCTTCAAGAAACAATGAGAAATTTTTAAATTAAAATAATGATCTTCATATTTATTCCACTTTAAAAGAAGCAAAACACACACACACACACACACACACACACACACCACACCATATTCCAAGCCAGTTTTTCTTTTTTAATTTTATTTTAGTCTGGGTTTTGTTGTTGGTGGTGGTGGTGGTTTGCTTTGGTTTTTGTGTTTTCGTTTTGTTTTGTTTCATTTTTTGAGACAAGATGTCACTATGTACAACCACGTTGGATGCGAGCTCACACTATAACCCAAGCTGATCTTTAACTAGAGAGGCGTGCAAAACATCATGTCCAGCTGCCCAAGCCATTTTCCAAGTCATGTGATCAATAGTAAAATATCCATGAGTACATTTTCCTTTTCAGTGTAAGTCACAAGCTTTCAACGAGTTCCTCAAATGTGTCACTGCAATCCTCTTACCTCCTATAAGGCATAAGCTTATAATGATCACGACAGTGAAACACGCGAAAATGGCGACGATGACCATCCACAGTTTACATTTCCCAACCACAGTCTTGTTACAGGGACTCCAGGGACTTTTCTTGTCAGCCTAGAAAGCAAAGCGAGACTGTGAGGCAGTCATTGGGTCTCAGAAAATAGTCCCAAAGTCCTACTAGAGACCAGTGATGCAGAATTGAGGTCATCAGGCCCTTAAGCTCAAGAGGCTACACAACACTGAATCACACTTAAGACAGGGCAGAATGGAACGGGGAGAGGAAGTTAGCCAAAAGCCCGCTGGGGATTCTGAAGTGGAGACAGTAGGCAGGATTTTTATTCTTAGAGTTTGAGGGGGGTTTTTTTAATGTATTTATTTCTAACTCACATAAAAATTGTATATATTTTTGGCGTTCACTGAGACAGTTCAAAACCCACGTGTCATATGTAATGGGTATAATCGGGGTAATTGCTGACCCATCACCTTTAATGTTTATCCTTTTTGTGTGTTAAGAACTTGAAAATTCCTCTCTACTAGCTATTTTGAAATGAAGTTTTTCGACTGCGCTACAGGACACTGTGAGTCAGCATTTCCTCTGTCTGACTGTACTTCTGTACCTATTAACCACTGGGTCCTCATGCAGCTGTCCCCTATTCCCTTCCCTGGCTCTGATAACGATGCTTCTGCTGTCTGCTTTCTTAAGACTGACATTTTAAACTGCAGCTTGCAAGTGAGAACATGTGATGTTTGTCACTGTGTATGGAAGGAAGGGTTTTTGAAGGTATTAAAAAACCTAGGAACCAGCAGTACATGATGATTCATGGCAGAACTGGCCAGCAGACTGGTATGTGGTTTGAGCCTATGGTCAGCTAACTCATGGCAGAACATCTCAACAGTGTGAGTGTGAGGCCATATACCTCATAGCAACCAGAAAGCAAAGAGAGAAAGGGTCAACGGAGTTGGGCACAAAAAACATCCTTTCAGGTCATACCCCAGAGAATGCTTTTTCCGAGTAGACCCTAAATATGAATGCATCCAGCATTTTCCAATCAAACTATGAATCTAGCAACAGATAGGCCCATAAGTAAAGGCAAAGCCCTCAGGATCCAACTACTTTCCAAAAGCCCCATTTATACATTGTTGCATTTGGAAACCAAGCCTTCAACAAATGAACCCGAGTGATTGCCTAGGTCCAACTACTAAGGGTTTGTTTGCTTTTAAGGCTGGTTAGATTTAATTCCGTGTATGCTTAGGGTGATCTGCTTAGAGGCCTCAGGCAAGTTCTTCCGCAAGGTGTCTTCCATATGTGCTTGCAAACTCCACATTACATTCTATAATTGCATTAGATGAAATTTTCAGGTATTTTCTCTGAAGACTCTACAAGAGTTCCACCATCTTCCCAGGTAAATGACTAAATACATGTATTAATACAGGATCTGGACACATCGGCAGAACTACCCATCTCTGGTTCAAAAAGCTTGTCTTCTTGGCTCAGTTAGGAGCGGTTATTATAAAGATTAGGGGTAAATCTGTTAGTGAACAGGAAAATCTGCACTTTTATATCTTCACTGTGGCATTTGATCCACACCTCTTATCTAAACACCAAGAAGCAAGCTGATTCTTGTACTAGATTGAACAATGCATAGCAGTAGCTCAAATGCATTGGTAGCTCAAATAAACCTCGGTTACTGCACAACAGTCAATTTACCGATTTATTGCTAATACAATGGTGATGCCACCACTTAAGATGTCTCTGGGCTGCTGAGTCCGGGCCCCTGACCTGCGCTGTGAAAGAAATTCAGCCTTACCCTATCACCTACAATTTCTTTTGTAATTTTTAGCCCAAGGGTATTAAGCTGTGGTAACAGTAGGCAAGGCAGAGCTCAATGGCTTACATTCCTTTCCCTCCGCATTCCAAATCCAGATTAAGACAGGGAGAAAAATTCTTTATATACTCTCCTAGCCCAGCCCTTCCAAACAAGAAGACACCTACACTAACAAATACTTACGATCTCAGTGGCATTCCCGGCCCATCATCCAATAATCACCCATCCACCTGCAGGTCCCTCACCAGCCACATCTGTCGATTTGATGATCCTCGCTTGTACTACCTAACTGTATATATTTATTAGTAATACACAATTTGTAATCGAGGCAACTATAAATGAAATAATAGAAATCATGCCATATGTATTTACGTATGCACGGTAAGATCAGTTAGCAGGGGTCAGCAGGATGACACCCTGAGTTTGATCCCGGGGGCACACATGATAGAAGGAAAAACTCGACTCCACCAAGCCATCCTCTGCCCTCCGTATGTGCATCATGGCACATATAGACTCACACATACACACAGAGGAAATAAATATAATATTTTTTAATAGTTAGCAGGGTAGCTCTGAGATCTTGAAGATCTGATTCCAAACTTTAGGGGGTCCCACTGAGGGAACTTGAGCAGTTTGGTTGTATCTTGAAGTTTCCTCACTCCGCACTTCCATATGTCAAACCAGAAAACCAGTACCCTCCTGTTTTAGTTTCCTTTCTGTCACTATGATACAACACTCTGTACAAAAGCTAGTAGGGGAACAAGGAAAAGTCTATTTAGCCTACACTTCCAAGCTGTAGGCCATTATTGAGGAAAGTCCAGTTAGGTTCTAAAGCAGGAACCTGAAGCAAAATTCATGGAGGAATGCTCCTGGCTGGCTCCCACACTGGCTCACGCTTACCAGTTTTCTTACAGCCCAGGACTAACCCCATAAGAATGATATCCCCAACGGTGGCCTGGACCCTACCGTATCAATTGACAATCCCGATACAGTGACTCAACCGAGGCTCCCTTGTCAGGTGATTTTCGGCTGTCTCAAGTTGACAGGTCAGGCTAACTAGGACAGCTCCTTTTAAGTTGATAATAATTAACTGCCTTTATGTGTTACACTTCTGCACTTAGTTTAAAACTTATGGTTTGTAAAGTACTGGGACTTAAATAAGTATCAAAGTCAGAACTATTATCACACAACTTAAGAACTTGACAAGAAATTCCTAAGCATCTAAATCACGTGCTTGTGCTAGCCAGTCCTTACTGAACCCCACTAACTGCCCTTTCATGTTGAAATGCATTTCAACCTATTCTATAGACTCAGAGGATAATTAACACTTTAGGGAGGGTTTGAGTTTTGTGTCATCTCTCTCTCATTATTAAAACACCCCCGATCAAGTATTTCTGGAAGGCCCTTCAGGTTCTCATGGAGCCCTAAGGACTCCGTTCTACCAGTTGCTGAAACTTTCCTCTGTAGTGACCTACAAAGCTAAATTACAAGGAAGTCTGGCATATCTGTGTACATCTGACTAGGAAGGAAGTCACTAGGACATGAAAGCATAATCTTTACAAGGCAGGTGCTAGGCAATTATAAAATTCTGATACCCGGAATGGATTTGGCATGTTCTCAACCATTGTCCACAGGCAGTACAAGGCTCCCAGAGCCTAAATGGAGCATATGATATTAACATCATTTCACAGCATTGCCCAGGCTCACATGCCTTTTTTTCCAGAGAATGCCTGAATCTTTGGAGATGTGCTAAGCCTAACTAACTTGAAGCAAGTATTTCTTTTATTAATTCATTAATTAATTTTATTAATTACAGTTTATTCACTTTGTATCCCAGCTATAGACCCTTCCCTTACCCCCCCCCATCCAACCCTCCCTCCTTCATCTCCTTCCCTGCCCTTCTCCAAATCTACTGATAAGGGAGGTCCTCCTCCTCTTCCCTCTGACCCTAGCCTATCAAGTCTCATCAGGACTGGCTGCATTGTCTGCCTCTGCGGCCTGGTAAGGCTGCTTCCCCTTCAGGGGGAGGTGATCAAAGAGCCAGCTACTGAGTTCATGCCAGAGACAGTCCCAGTTCCCATTACTAGGGAACACACTTGAAAACTGAGCTGCCATGGGCTACATCTGTGCAGGGGTTCTAGGTTATCTCCATGCATGGTCCTTGGTTGGAGTATCAGTCTCAGAAAAGACACCTGTGCCCAGATTTTTTGGTTCTTTTGCTCTCCTCATGGAGCTCCTGACCCCCCCAGGTCTTTCTATCTCTCCCTTCTTTCATAAGATTCCCTGCGCTCTGCTCAAAGTTTGGCTACGATTCTCAGCATCTGCTTTGATATGCTGCTGGTTAGTCTTTCAGAGGCCCTCTGTGGTAGGCTCCTGTCCTGTTCCCTGTTTTCTCCCTCTTCTGATATCCATCCCATTTGAGGCAAGTATTTCTAATTCTCATACCGAGACATTGCCCTGGAGAATCATCCAGAAAGCTCCTGATTATGGCCACTTGCACTAGCAGTAGGCCCTATTTTCCAAACTTTATTCATCTGTGATCCTATTTCATGCAAATGTAAGGTGCCAGCTTAGTCTCCAACGTACTTAGGAAATAAGAAATTGCCACACAGTATTTCCAGGAAACACTGTGGACCACTGTGGATTTTCTAATAAAAGCACCGCTTAGGTCCAAGAGGGATAGAAGTGGAGTGGGGTGAGATAACTCAGGCTAAAATGTTGTGTCCAGAGAATTGAGTGTACCCAGTTAAACTCCAGCTAACTTTTCGGGTTAATCACAAGGAAGGTGACTCGGAATCAAACTCTCCCATGTTTAACAAGTATTTATCTGTGGGTAATGTTCAGCCACGACATCAGAAAAGAGTTCAACCCACACACCACCACGGCCTTTCTCAGAGATGAAGACAGCAAGGCTAAGTTCTTAGGTAGAACTTTGATGTTATTTCCATTCTACTGGGCCAACACACCCATCAGGGTCAACCCTCAGTCTGAGCATAGCAGTGCTTTCCTCCTTGTGGTTTTTTTGCCCACGTCTACTCCGGAAGAAGCGATGACCAAAGTGGGAGAAAATGTTTGAAGGTGGGAAGGAGAGCGAGGACCATATAGCTGGGTAGAGGGGGAAGGAGGTGGACTTCTCTATGCCCCGTAGAAGGCGTGGGGTGGGGTGGTGGGGTGGTGAAAGGGAGGAGGGGAAAGAGGGAAGGAAGAGAGAGAGGAGAGAGGGAAAGGTAGGGAGGGAGGAAGGGAGGGAGCGGGGGAGAGGGAAAGATGGGGAAAGAGGGATGTTAAGAGAGAGTATAATTCAACCTTTGTATTTTACTTGAAAAAGAAAGGGCGAAAAAAAAAAAAACATCAAAAGTTACATAACTTTCAAACACCACCTCTCTAGCTCCAAAGTTTCTCTCTCCATTGAAAGGAGCAGCCACGCCCCACTCCAGGATTCCTAAAGAGTCCCTCCCTGGGCGAGGTCAGAGTAGTAGAGGGGTCTAACCTAAGAAATTCCAAAAGTTTTTGCGCTCTTTAGCCTCGCTGTCTTAGCGCTTCTCCGAAGCTGGAAGGGAGCCCTGGCGCCCTTGAGTGGTGTCAGGTCCCTTTCCTGCTGTCACGCCAGAGTCCCAAGTCCTTACCTGGGCTGGGCTAGGGTCCTCTGCGGAGCGAAGCTGCACCTGGAGGTTGTTGAGAGGCATCTGCTCTTCCGGTTGCTCCTCCAGTGTCGCCAGCTCTAGCTCTTCCCGGGGCGATGGGGATCTGGACCCTTCCATGGCAGCGCAGAGACCGAGGCTCCGCCGAGAGGCTCCTCCGAGAGGCACCTAAGGGTGCAGAGTCCAGGACACAGGGAGACTCCTCCGTTGACACTCCACCCACCAGGCTCGGCAGGTAGACCTCGGGCGGAGCCAGACAGACCTGTGGCGACGGGCCTCTGGAGGGGAGGGGCGAAGCCAGAGAGTGGAGGCACTCCGGCCCGGGGTAGCCGACCTTGCTCAGGAAAGGTAGATGCGGGTGGGACCCTGCTTCCTTGTGCTCCGGAGCAGAGGAGGGCTGTTTTTCTGGTTTGTTCAGGGTGCTGCCTGCAATGCTCCCTGGAGAACGCAGATCGGCTCACAGGGCCTGACTGCCAGCTGGGCTGTGGCAAGGAAGGGTTAGACTGCGCTGCCTGCTGAGCGCCCCAAGAACGTTGACTTCTACCGGGATGGCAGGATGCTGAAGCTTACTCCAGTTCTAGCGAGGGTTCATCTACCGAGTCAACAACCAGCTGTGAATCAGCTTGTGTGTATCGGGCAGCGTGCTGGCTTCTGAGTACAGGAAGATGAATAATACACAGCTACATAAATTCCCCTTCCAAGCTGATTCAGGTATAGGGGAGGTATCAATATGGCTGATAGTAGTAAAGGCAGCCTTTTGGGGAAGTCGGCAGTTAGCTCGGCACAAGCAGTGTGTTTCTCCGGACAGAAGATAATGGCTGGCAGAAGCCAGAACTCATAAACGTTACTGATTTACTGATTATTGTTTATCTTTGAGAGGAGGGCCATTAAACACCCCTCCCGAGGGAAAAGCACGTGTGTCCTATCAGTAAGCAGACAGTGCCCTCCACACCCCATGCATAGCTCAGAACTGGCTCAGTGAGCCCGGAGTTGTGTGTATAAAGCAAAGTGTGTGTTGGGTGTTGGTCCAAGGATCTTGCCTCTCAACCTTCTGTTCAGAAACACTGTACTCTTTCATTCCTTTCTCTGCCACATAGACAGTTATTAAGACCAGTGTGCGGACTCCGGAAATATTGAGAACATATTTAGGAACGTATCTTTTCTTTGCAGTGCTAGGAGTCTAGCCCAGGCAAACGGTCCTGCCCCAGGGCTTTATCACCAGCCACTAGATAGATGCTGTTTACCCTTAATCCCAAGGGGACTTCTTTAGAAAATCAAATTATGTTTTGCAAGCTGGAAATACTAATTATCTCACAGTAGTCAGAATTTTTCAGTCATCTTTACTAATTTGGAAAATAATACTTTCCGTTTTCCCTCCTTTTACTTTTGAATTTTCTCTACACTTCTGTGCAGTGTTCTGATGCCTGTTATTTCTCCTTTGACTTTTTTCCAGGGAAAATAAATAATACTCTTTTTTTTTTTCTGCCATTTTACTTGTTTGGTGCTATGTTAACTCTGGCCTTTGGAGTGAGACACTCTCTAAATTATGACAAATCAGGAAGTGGAATATGTTGAGCAGGTACTGTAGACTTACAGCTATTCAAAGCATTACAAGGCTTTGAAAACACACACACACACCCAAAACCCAGGTGATAACATACCTGAAAAGTGTGACTTTCAGAACACTCACCAAAAATGCCTTTGACTGTCAGCCACCTCTACCAAGACAGAGGATCTCACGGGTGCACTTCAGTCCAACTCTTACCATGCAGCCTTCTATCACTTTAGTGAAGACCGCAAATCCTTCGTTTTGTGTGTGGGGGTGTGTGTGTGAATCAGTTTCTCTGTACACAACAGGACCCTGTGCACATGGATCCTGTCCACTGTGATGTGAATAGAACAAATGGAACTGGATTGGAAAGCAATACTGTCACTACCTCCCCTGACATTTACTGAATTTTGCTCTATTTCACTTTGTGAGGTACCTTTGTTTTGTGCGTTGAGTTTTGTGAGACTGCTAGGAGTCAGGTATGGCTTCCCTGGAATGTCTTGTCTGTGTGCCCTGTTCGTCTCAATCCTTGTAAGCACCCCTGGTTTCACTGGAACACATAGGAAGGACCTCTTCTCTCTTAGCTCTCACTTAATCTTAGAGACTTGGTTTGTGACATTACTTTAGTTTTCTTCCATCCCTGAGTCAATAGCATTTTGATACCTTAGGATAAAGATCATTATATCCTTGGAGAATTTTTATGGAATGCATCTTAAATTGTCTGCCTTGCAATAAATATCAGGTGTGCTCAATCTGACATTTTTCAGTTGAAATGATTAATTTTATTATTAATAATTAAATTCTTAAAATGTATCATCTCTGTCATGTAAGTCACAGGTAAAAATACAACTGGTGCAGTTACAAAAGAGAAGGGACATACTTATGAATCCAAGAAACAAAGTTTGACACCCTTGTGTAAACACCAGGAAAATTTGGTCTTCCGCATCCATGTCCCCAGCTAACAATGCCAGTCAGAATCCATTTTCCATCACTCTTTCTTCGACAAGACAAAGGTCCACCTGAATCTCCCTACACAAAAAGATAATGTAAACATGAAGACCTCTGTTTCATGAGCACCAAGTCCATCATTTATGTGTCCAATAGGTTCTGTTTAAAAGTCTCATTCTGTAATGGTTTTGATTTCACTATGCAGAAGAAAGCAGTTCTCACAATCCCCACCCCTCCAAGTATTTGTTGTAGCGGTGAATGGAGTAATAACAGTAGGGATTAGTGTCTACTTAGTGTTAGCTATAGGCCCAACACCGCCTGGGGTCATTTCACCATCATAAAAACATCACAGATATCTTGGAAGATTGACTTCCTTCCATGGACCATTCAGCTTCAGCAGTTGGTTCACTGACCCAAGGAAAAAGAAGAAAAGACAACTTAGCCAGGTCCACTGAAAGAACCCTAAGAGCCACCGGCTGCCAACTGTTTTCATCTGAGAGTTCTCTGACATCTCAGCACCACAGGACAAACACTGCAATAATTTAACGTTTAAACAATCCTCGCAGTGTGACTCTTTAAGTATAATATAATATCTGGGCTTTGTGTGTGCACATTGGAAAGTTGGTAGAGCTAGAGCTTCAAGATGCCCCTGTTTAATATTTCAATTTAATATTTCACATCTCTTTATGTAAATTCTGACAAAAGGGAAACCGGGTTCTGATGTTCGTTGTTGAGCTAGTTCTGTAAGTCTAATTTAATCTCAAAACTTGGTGCTTGTGTAGAACACAGCTAGGGAGTTGGCCAGCTGCTATGAGCATCTGAAATACACTAACATTAGTAAAGGGCTCCCATTCCCACCCATCACACCTACTGGCTGTGTAACTTTGGGGGTGGGGATTCTATTTATCTTCTTCTACAGAATGGGGATAAAAAAATGATGATGTGAATGAATTTATATAAAGAATCTTGCTTATAAATAAAATCTCAAAAGATGGAAAACATTATAAGATAGGGTCCTGGCATTGCACCTAAGTTGGCAAGATGTGGGAAAGGTCCCAAGTGCTCTTTATACTATGGATCACCTATTTGCTCTTTGTAAATTATAGACATATCTGCACAGATTGGAATGAAAAGATCGAAGTAATATTCCCCCAGAGCATAACCTACAACTATCTCTACCTCTCCCAAAGCAACCAGGGGGCCTAGATGAGTGTGCTCCATCTCTGCCTCCTTCCTCTTTCCTTTTCTCAGTCTAAGAATCATAGTAACAGGTAAATGAATCCTGTAGTTTTGGTGTTAAGGAAACAAGTAACAATACTGAAGCACTCGGTATTTGTTGACCTGGGAATGGTTGTTTCTTTAAACCCTTTCTTTCTCAATGTTTCCCTGGTCTTAGGCAACTGAATCATAATTAGTATCTGGGAAACTCCGATAAAAGAAAGACAAGGTCTGCCCTGGATAGCCTCAGTATTGTGTGGATGGAATTTGAAATAATTTATGGAAGGCACCACATGTAAGAAAGGGGGAAGACTTACTTTGCAGGCATCACTCTTGCCAGACATAACCCCTGCACAGAGCATCCGAGAAGTGATGATCCCATAGGTGGAAACACAGACAGTTTGATCTATGATCTCTACCTCTGCTTGCTGCAAAACGAGGGAGCCTTTATTATCTGCAAGACACATTGGGGATAGATATCATGGACTACATTTCTTCCAGGTTTCAGTTGAGCAATCAGCTCGAATTATCTTCCTTCAGCCTGGGAGCGATTCTCTGAGATAAATTCTATTAACCCCATTTTGCTTCCAAAGAAATGAAGACTTACAAAAGACACACAACCAACAAGTAACAGCAGGACCCAGTCAAAGGTCTGATTTTATCACCTTATCCATTGAGCCACTGTGCCACTGTACTTTCATACCTGTGCCACCGTGTCCTGTGGGCTCATGGGTCAGCAACTGTTAGCACCACTGTTTACATTTCATGAGGACTCCTCAAAAAAGACACACAAAACTGATGTCTGAGAATCTATAAGGAGCCATAAAAACTAACTTGTTTTTCTATAGCTTCTTCAGTTCCTCTCTAACTTGCATGGCTACAAACATATGTATGTACTCATGCTTATCAAGAAAGCATCTCTTCAATGAGTTGGGTAGTCTCTTCCTCCAGTGACAGATGATGAAAGTGTTGGTTAGCTGTTATCAACTTGACAAAAGCTGGAGTCATCTGGGAAGAGGAACCCTCAATTTAGAAAATGTGCCCAGCCGATTGACTTGTAGGCAGGACTGTGGAGCATTGTCTTAATTGATGATTGACGAGGTTGGGACTCAGACACTGTGGGCAGTATCAGCCCTGGGCAGGTGGCCCTGCATAAGCCTGAGCATCAGGCCAGAAAGCCGCAGCCCTCCATTGTCTCTGTTTTCAGTTTCTGCCTCCAGGTTCCTGCCTTGAATTTTTGCTCTGACTTCACTTCATGATGCACTGACTAACTGTAAGCAGTAGGGTGAAATAAACCCTTTCTTCTTCAAGTTGCTTTTGGTCATAGTGCTTTTCACAGCAATTAAAAAAAGCAAACTAAGACAACAAGATAATGAAATCACCAGGCACAATAACACAGAAGCTGAGTTACAACTGTGCAAACAGCTGCCGTCCTTTATCAGGACTCTTAGAACTCAGCAAACTCCATTTGGTGGTGAATACCATTTCTTCCATATGTCCATAAGGCATTAATGAGAATCTGAGAAACCACCCCAGTGGTTCGAAACCAAAACTGTGGTGTAAACTGAAAAATTGTGTGTCCTGTATCTGCCATTTCCCTTTTGGAAAGGACATCAAAGGGATCTAAGATCCCAGGATCAATAGGTAGGCACTAACCCTTGGGGAAACATTCAAGCAGTTTCGGATTCTTTTCCTCATTATATATATAAATTCAGCTACAAATCATGGACCAGGCAGGCTTGATAGAGAGGTTTCCCCAGCATAGAGCCTGACTTTTACGTGCTGAAAAAAGGTTCCTTTTCTGGGTGTGTAGCTAATTGCAAATTGTAATTCCCCCTAGGTTGAACT